GAAAGACAATTCTTGATTTAATAGTGACGATCCTCGCTGCCTTGAACGTGGACAGGTTCGGTCGACGACCGTTGTTCCTGATATCGACATCAGGCATGGTAGTCTCGTTCGTGAGCTGGACCATCTGCGGGGCCATCTACGAGAACTCAGACATGACTAACGCGGCCTCGGGATACGCACAGCTAGTATTTATCTGGCTATTCGGCATATTCTACGACATCGGCTTCTCCGGACTCCTAATCGCGTACGCGTTGGAGGTCCTACCCTTTAAGCTGCGTGCCAAGGGCATGATGATCATGAACATCACCGTCCAGGCCGTCCTCGCGCTCAGCAACCAGACCAACAAGATCGCCTGGAATAGGTTTCCGAATCACTGGAATTTTATGCTCTTCTATACTGCAAGTTCTTCTGTCTCTTTTGCTAGATAAGCCGTTGCTGACACAAGTGCTCAATTAGCTCTGGGATTTCTGCCAACTGGCTTTCGTTTACTTTTTCTATGTTGAGACCAAAGGGCCAACACTCGAGGAGATCGCATGGATCTTCGACGGGCCCGATGCCGTGGCGAATATCGACCTCCGACAGGTTGAGAAGGAGATGCACGAGATCGATCGGGAGCAGAGCATCGATTCGAGAGCCATGTCATCAAGGGGAAAGGGGGCAGTTTAAGCTAGTCCTTCATTTACACTAATAACTGGAGTGGTAATTATTTTGTAACGATTTCATGATAATGGATAATGGCGCGGTGGTTTCTTCTCGGGTGAGGTAGCGCTATCATAGGTCAGGCGTCGGAGGTACCAAAAAAAGGCGAAAGGGGGAGAACACCAACATGCTCATTACTAGGGTAATTTACACTTATCTAAAAATAAACTACCTGAAACTTCCTCTATTAAGCATGAATTGTATACTGTTATTTATCTGATACATCGTTTAATCGCCGTTCGTGTGGGCATATGAATATTACTGTTTTCTTACCGTATAGTTGTGTGGGTGCCTCTTTACGCGTTCATGCGTTTCTGGCCGAAGTGTCGTCGTGAGTGCAAGATTCTGGTCCGATATCCCGATTCGATGGGACATTTAATAATATCGCAAGCCGCGAAATCGCCATTTTGGAAATAGCATTTACTGTAATTGATTTTCACTGGGTGGGCAAAGCAGTTGAGCAGCCAAGATAGGGGTATGCTATGCGAACCTATGGTAGGCTTCTGAACCAAGCTTACTAGGAATCCTTTTTCTTCCCGTTCACGTGGACTTTTACGGCCTGTTTCTTGAGATGCTTTATTATGCACTGAGCTGAGAAAATCCCTCCAGAACACCTGCAATATGATGATATTAAATACAGATCAACGATCTCTCTTTGTGTAACACTTGGTGTCAAGGTAGTATCCTCTTTCACGTACCGTTCCGCAAAATCAGCTACTCCCAGCTTCGCCATGAGTCCAGACAATCAATACTCGTAATTCTGTAAGCAACCTGACGCCACGCTAGACTTTCATGCTTCTTAAATCAGCGTTTCATCTCTTGGAGGATCTTGGAAGCGCCAGCAAAGTTGAGCTCCTCCATCGTCTCTTCCCATATCCTATCTTCTACTCTTTTGCCTTCTTCCGTGTACAAGATGTCGCGATATCTAATCTCATAGTTAGCATGATAGTGGATAGAGGTAAAGGGAAAGGGGCTGCTGTACGGTTGGATGGTCCAGTCGCTAACATAACTACCGTGGCTCTCCTTGCCCTTCATGACAACAGCATCGACCAGGGCACTAGCGCCGGCCTCTACTGTCCTGCCATTGAAGCCTGCGAAAAAGAAGAAGAACAACCTGGCCGCAGTAGTAGAACTGCTGCCGAACCCAGTGCCCTTGCATAGACCTGGATTGGACACGTTGACGATCACGTCGTCGGAGTTGACGTACTGCGTGAGCCTGCGGACGAAGAACAGCTGCACGAGCTTACTACCGGAGTAGTTCCGCATCGGGTCGAACAGCTCTGGCTTGTCGAATTGTGCCAGGATCGGTCCTGTCATGTCCAACGCCGCCCAATAAAATGTATCCGAACTAACGATGGAGATGCGAGGCGGCTGACTAGTCGACAATCTCTTCGACTTGAGAATCGGCAATAGTAGTATAGTCAGTAGACATGTCGAAAGGTAATTGACCGTGTAGCTCATCTCGTGCTGCGTGCTCTTGAGTATCGTAAACTCGTCGCTTCGTAAACCTGCATTCAGAATCACGCTATCGATCCTCGGTAGCGTCTCGCATTTCTTTGCAAACGCCTTGATCGAGTCGTACGACGCCATGTCCAGGATCCACACTGATATGGTAGAGTTGGGAAACTCCTTTCGTAGCTTATCCGCAGCTGCGTCACCTCGTGCTTGGCTTCTCACGGCCATGATGAGATGCGACAGCCCTAGCTGAAGCATCTGACGCGAAGATTCAAACCCGAGTCCTGAGTTGGAACCCGTCACGATGGAGGTCTGGCCGGAGAGGTTCGTCCCCTCGGGATACGGTTGCCGATGCATCATCCATTGTCGGTATAAAAACCCAGCAAAACTACCCTCGAACGCAGCTCGACTTTCCAGGTGTTGTGACATGATTAGGTTAGGTCATACAGACGATTGACGCAGAGAGATTAAAGTCTAGACGAGACAGCAAGATTGAATCCTAAGCTGAAAGTTTAGGGATCAACCGAAACTTGTTTTCAGCCAGCATTCCAGTCTACGTGCTGAAGTATATACACATTTTGCTTTCCCAGGCCGTGTCATGATGCAGTGGCGCTGCTGCCATGGTTCGGGCCGTTCAGTGCTCCCGTCACCGTGACAGTTGCAATAGGTAGCTACAGCATACGTGATAACAAGGCTAGCATTGCATGACGCACTCGACCGGACGGGTCGGTGACTCGGAAGCCCGTTGTGTTTGAATTATCTATCCTATACAGGTATGAATATTCAATTGTTGCAGAATCCCGCGGACTGCGAGGCATGGATTATTAGTCATACTGCCCGTAGGCAGTTATCCGGCTGACGAACTTTCGTCATCGCCCCGAGTTGTCTGCAAATGCTCAGGTAGCATACAATAGCTACATAGGCTCGGATATTTAGACAAGTTGAATGACCGAAAGTCGCATATGTAGTTCAATAAGTCCAATAAGTCACCATGACGCCTCGTAGTCTCTAGGCTAATTGGTGAGCTTTATGGAATGTCTACACAATCAATCCCGGTACTTGGCGGGGTTCGGGACCGATATCTGTTATCTCCACAGCCTTCGCGTGTTTTCTTTCTTTTCTTTCTACATAATATGTAGTTCCCAGCGAGCGGAGGAACTTGGAGCACCGTCCGAATATCCGTCCGGACTTGGAACTAATAGGTATTTCAATATCTTTTTCTTTCTATACCTTCTTATTCCATCTCGCGAGCCAAGTGTCAGTCTATTTCCAGAGGATCGGTGAAATCCACAACATGAGATGAAATTGTACTAAGTATGTCCGAAATATGTACATCGATGCGAGATGCGTGGTGCCCAGGAACTTTTATATACATTCCTCCCTACCTATCGACTTTCCCGATCAATTCTTTATTATTTTCTATGGGCTTTTAGTGCTGCTGCCAAACCCTTCTGCAACGGTGGGGGCGCAGCTCCGATTAACTTCTCGATCTCTAGATCCGGATCTCCTTTCTGCATCGCACGCTTGTAACCGTCTCTCGCGGCGACGCGTTTGAGATAAGCCAGAATGTTGGGATACGGGCTTAGGTCGTACTGCATAAAGCAGCGCATCGTAGTGAAACTGCAGAAATTCATGATGTCTGCTGCGCTGAACTGGTCGCCTGCGAGCCAAGGCACCTTTGACAGGCGCTGGTCCACGAGCCCGAGGATCTCCCTTTGTCTGACGTAATGGCGCTTCACCCTCTCGTCGTCCTCGTTCAACCCTACCCTAGATAATGCCATGTTTTTGACTAGTCCAGCTTGCAGAGTGCCATTTGCAAAGTCTTTCCATGTCCATTAGCAAATAGATTCACCGTAAGATGAATTATGTCAGGGCATCTTACGAAACCAGTACAGATATTCTGCGTAGTCCTTGGCCCCGGGAGCGGGGGCGAGTTGGCCTTTGCCGTAGGTCTGCAAGATGTATTCAACGCAAGCACCGGACTCAGCCAGCATCACGTTGCCGTCCTGAATGACCGGAGCCGATCCGAGCGGGTGCAAGGCCTTGTATTCCGGCGGTGCGAAAATTGGTGATCGATCATACTTTTTGAGCTCATATTCAATGCCAAGCTCTTCGCAGAGCCACACGACCCGTTCCGACTGCGACACGCCTAGGTGGTGAACAGTAAGTGTCATTTTGACGCGTATCTGATAGTTAATTTGGAATATGAAACAATTGAAAAATCAAGAAATAGGTCGATCAATTATGAGATCCCAAGTTGTCGTTTGAATATTATTGTAGGGGACTGTCAATACTTAAAAAGTCTCCGAGTGCCTCGGTCCAAATGGATATCTACTAAGACACGGAGGGCTAGTTGGTACCACAACGATAGACCGGATCTCGCTGGTCCCGGGTCTAGCAACTGTTAGTCGTCTGCAACATAGTAAGAATGACAATCTCATTGAGCGAGACGTCAGAGATCAGTGAAATTATATTCAAGTTGCGATGATCTTTAGGACTTAGAATGCTACTGAGTCACAAAAGTCGAACATATCTCTAAGTCCATATTGTTATAAGTGACTCACCGCAACATTATTTCAAACCTACACATAACACGCTGTGCGGTGAGGCGGCGCAGTCAACACGATGTTATTTTCTATTCAGATACACTATCATCAACATGGGGAAGCGTCCGATTTCAGTATAGTTCGCATTCATAGGATACAGTTATTGGAGGTAACCAAGGCAATTAGGCCGACGCAACCAACAGCAGTAAGGAGACTTTCAATGTATACCTTTAATTGGATATAATTAAGCGTGTTTAAGAAAAGTTTGGGAAGTTATCTAAGAAAATAATTGACAATCAGTAACTTCACTTCGTTTTGAACAAAGGACCTCCGGGTTTGTAGCCCCGGCGTGCTTCCACTACACCATGAAGCTCTTTGAAAAGGGGTAAAGCTAGAGTAATAAAATCAGGAACAGCATACGGTATTATATTCATTATCCGTCGGGGACGCCCAAAGACACGTGGTTTCGGAGAGCTCAACCCCCGCGACGTACCTGATGTCACATATAGGTAAGGAATGAATTCAAAAATAAAAGAAATATTTAGCTTCTCTCCGATTCGAACGGAGGATTTCAAAGATATGCTAAACCTGGTGTGCTACCATTGCGCCATGAAGCTTTAGGCAAACATCTGCCGGAGATGCCTTCATCCATCATTGATATCGATGATGCTATTATTTAATACACAGTTAGGTCAGCACGTGCTATGGATGGCTTGTCGCTAGGCACGAAAGCCCGGAAAGGAGATTAGGAAAATACTCTTGAGTGAGCTTGAGGGAAAAAAAAAGGATTAATGTCTGACTTCATCTCCGGGGAATATGGTTAGGACAATAAAAATAGCTATAGTAAACCAATACTCTATTGTCAGATCAACCCTCGTTGATATTGAAACAAACCTAAATATCCGGGAACAACTACCTATATTATAGATTTCACTTCCTAACAATGAAGTTAACTTTAACTCCGTAGCAAATAAAGCTCTTTATTAAATCCTAAGAAACACCTACCAATCCACATAAACCCGTTCTGAAAGCTTAGCATCTATAGTTCCTCTTCAGGTATATCCATTACATAATACCATAAGAATTCAGTTATAACGTACTAGACATGTTTACAAGAGTAACCTAAAAGGCTTACACCTCTACTTGAATTTGATATGTCGCTATTGCACGAGTACCAGCTTGATTATACTACATGAAGCATATACTAGCAGCTTATTTTAATATAGTTCGGACAAGTCTTATTATTCTCAGCCACGCTCTTTTTCGAGATCAGCTAGGGTAGGTAAGCAGCTCATAGCCTTATTTATCTTTCGTCTAAGCCTTTTCCAAGCCTATTAACTTTAAAATTGAATAACTAAACTTTCCGCAGATCTAAAAAGCTTTAACTTGGAGTTGCGTGATATTATGTGTGATGTTGGGACGCTGACAGGACCTTGATGATATAGAAATGAATATTATGTCATATTATGCAGAAGAGCTACTATGATAACCGTTGGCCGCATTATGCTGTCTACATTCATTGAACCCCTATCCTGAATAGGAGTGATCGACATACGTACCTGTATACCTATATAGTGGCCCGTGAAGTCGTAACAGACAGGTAAAAGACCAGCCGTTGAAACGACACAGCCAGAAGGATTAGCAAGCCTGTAATGTCGAAGAACAAAACTACAACTCAATTGCCGCTCCGCGCGAGGCTCTGCTCCCTGTATTTTCCGCTCTGCGGACTCGGCCGGGCCTCCCAGTGGTTGGCCCACGTGGCTGTGCGTGCGCGCATTTGACACAAGCCAAAATTCATGCAGTTGGTTCTTTTTTGGTTGGGGGGCCTGGCCTAGGATTGTCTGGAGCGCCTGGAACGGGCCGCCGAGATTGGTCGCACCGCATACCATCTCATACGAGGAGACCCGGGCCAAGAGGCCTCGCGTCCGCTTCCCATAGGCGCCCAGGCTGATATGGGCGTCTGCCCCCAAAATGCTACCTAACAGCCATTCGCCCCGCCTCGCACACCCACGCATTTGTCTCTTTTCTTGCTCTTTTAACAAGGGGGGAGCTCCCCCCGTTTGGGTGCGTGCGTGCGTGGTTAGCTTATACCTACCTATTCTTTACCTATTTCGAAATAGAACATTTCCATTACTACCCCGGGTCAATTCCCGGGTAGTAGCTCTTGATACCTTACCTTTTACCTACGGAACCTGATAGAGAAAGGAAATCAGGTAGAAGCAAATGCCCGGGTTAACGACTTCGGTCCGCCGGGGCCCGCGAGAACCTCGCCATGCCTCTACGTCGGCGGCGCCGGTACCCGCGAGGTTACACATCCAGCTGGCCGGCTGCATACTATGGCTCCCGCCTAAGACAGAGCTAGTCTCGTCGGGCTACGACTCGGATAGTCTCGAGGAAGACCGGTGCGACCACCCTGTCGTCGTCCTCTCGCCGTTTACCGACGATGGGAAGGTGGTATATCTGATGGTACGCATTCCAGATACGGACACATCGGACTAAAAAAATGCATTCATTGCAGAACAATTATAGGGGTTTATATGACGTGAAGATGGCATGCTCTGTTTCTAACGTAGCCACAAAAATTAGATCACGTCGCTGAAGGGCGTGGACCTCGACAAGCGCTTCAGCCACCCGACCGTGCGGCTCGAGCACATCCCCATCCGGCCGTGCAAGCCGCACCCGGACAACGGGATGCTGCTGAGCCTCGAGGACGTGACGCTGGCCATGCGCAAGAACTCGTACGTCAAGACGCGCACGCAGCACCGCGGCCGGCTCAACATCCTCCGGGCGTACGACCGCCGCGGCCCCGAGTACGTGCTCTCGCGCAAGTCGTACCAGGAGCTCATCGAGTACGTCAAGTTCACGGCGCCGGCGCCGCACCCGGGCTCGAACGCCGTGACGTCGCCGCCTCGGCGCGGCCGCAGCGGCAGCTATAGCGAGTACGTCAGCGTCCTGCGGGGCTTGGAGAGCGGGTTGGGAAGCCCGCCGCCTGCACAGAGTCACTTACCTCATATCCCCAGTCCCAACCTGAACCCGACGACACGTTACCAGCCTCGCACGTCGGCGAGAAGATCCGACCGCGATCCTTTGATTGGCTCGTCCTACCCCCGCTCGTACGACCGCCAGACGGGCACCTACACCAACTACCAAGCCGGCGGGCACCCGGGCCACGCCTACCGAAACGCGAGGCGGAACGGATACGGGCACGGCGCTTCTACGGGGCCCACGGAGCCCTTCGACTGGGCCATGTTCTGGAAGGTCTTCAAGGTGCTGTTCTGGATCGGCACGGCCATGGTCGGCTTCTACGGCGTGGCACGCGGCGTGCAGTGGATGGGCGGTGCCGCCAAGGACGCCGCCGGCGCGATCAAGCAGGGGATCGACGGCCTCGGCACGAAGCTGGTGGAGTTCTGGTCCGGGTTTCGGTCCAACTTTGGCGGCGAGAGCATTCCGGCGCCAAGTCCTCAGACTGTTCAGAAAGTTGGCTCGGGTTTTTGGCAAAGGTTTGAAATGCCAATGAATTGAGCGTGAGTGGTGATTGTACGAATCAATATGGAACGGAATGAAATGAAATGGCAATGGCACTGGTAATGGCCGATCATAGGATAAAGGAAAAAAAAAGTAAAATTGTACAATCTATCTAGGCATATGGACTGGCGTATATAGGTATATACTGGGTTAGGTAGGTAGGTAGGTAGGTACCTAGGTATCTTCACGATTAACGTAGCGAAAAGAATGCCATTGTTCAACAGGTACACACGATGCAGCTACTGGAGCGTCGCAGCCACCTCCAAATCCGGAGCCGAACAACTGTTGACGTACTGGAAGGCCGTCTTATTCTCCTCGCAGTCCGGCTCCAGTGTCGCGGTCGAGATATGTCTCACGGCCGTCCTGATTTCGAGTTTAGCAACTATTTACACTTACACTCACACCCATACTCCAGGTCAAGAAAAGGGGTCATCAAAAACGTACTCGTCGCCACAATCCCACGTCTGATTGACGGTCAGCTTCCACTCCTCCCAGAGAAACAGCGCGCTGGTCTTGACGGGGTAGTCCTGCCCGTCGACGCTGAGCGTCCTGTCGATGCAGCTGCGCCAGACCGTGCTGTCGTCCGGCCACTGGCCCTGGAACTCGGCGTTCTGCAGGCTGCACCCCGTCGACACGCCGTTGGCCGCGTTGACCACCTCGAAGGCGAGCTGCGTCGAGTTGGGCGGCGTGTCGTAGGAGCCCGGGTACGTCTCGTACTTGACGTAGGCGACCCCTTTTACGGAGAACGTGGTGGGCGTGGATGTGTCGGCGCAGGATGCCGCGGCGGGCGACAGCACGTACGACAGCGACAGGAGTAGATAGCTCAAGCAGGAACGCATCATTTTACTTTATGTGTATGTTTATGTGTATAATATTCCTAGCAAAGTGTAGAATCTTCATGTTACAATGTTCCCGAGTCTAAGTAGGTAGATAGATATGCTTTCTTTTCCATCCCTTAGCTAAAAGCAAGGATGCCCATGTGGTTTTTATCGTATGCTCGCTCCCAACATCGGTTAAAATCGCGAAGATAGGCTAGGGCCTTGCGATCGACCATCCTAAGAAGGCTTCCCGTTGTACTATGGTATTACCAAGGTCCTGGGTACGGGAGTGGTCGCTATCTGATGATAGCGGAGTTAAATACTCCGGTCTCAGTCACATTTCTGGAGTTTATCCAGAACGGCTGGTCACTCTTGGAAGGTAGTATACGCCACACGTTGGTTCTATATACGGCAAAGACTCTTCATTTCATTGGTTGAATTGGCGACACTAGACTCTTACTAAAGGAACAACTTCACAGAGTGTTGAGTGACTGTAAGACAGAAGCGACGAGAGTTGCTTATTACAGTACATTGCATGTAAAAGGACTCCTGTGCTTAGGATCAAATACATGCAGTTTCCTCCTTTTCTTTCCTTTCCTTTCCTTTCCTGTGCTTTCCTTTGCGTGTTTTCTATCAACTAGCCCTGGACCTGATTATAGACCATAATATCGTTTCCTCGTTGGTAGAAACGCCGGGTGAAACCCTCGACAGTAAACACAATCAATGAACGCCATCGTCGATCAACTCATAGCATAGGCCGAACCATTCCAAGCCGACCTCATCCGCGATCATGAAGGCTTGCTTAAAGAGCCATAACACAGTGCAAACCACATATCCTACATGCAGTTAGTCAATTTACAAGAGCGAGCCGATGGGTCTATTCGATATTGCAGTAGTCAGCAGCCTCGCAGGCCTTCGTGAACTCTTTCAATAGGGACTAAAGTGCCGCGTACGTTAGCTAACTCGGTTCCATATCTAGGTACGTAAAGGACAGCTTAGAACTCGAACATACCTTGAAGTCGTGATCCTCCAACGACGCAAACACAGCTGTGTTGTGAAGCTTCAGCTGGAAGACCCGGGGGCTTTTGATGCCAAACGCAACGCGTGCGAGGAATCGCGGGTCGTCCCGGACACGGCATACGGCTAGAATCTTCTTGATGCCGGCGATGTTGACGGGCGGAGTCGGTTTGGGCGGCAACACGACCCGTTTTCCGGTTAGACAATGAGTGCAGTGGCCACATTTGGCCTTACCCTCCGGCAGTCCCATTCCGAAG